CGCTGTGAACAGGATGGTGACTAGGGGTGGAGGCCGACGGCCGTTTCGCTTCCAACCACGCCTTGGAAATGCACGCTCGGGCGGCCCACCACACTGCTGAACTCGAAGGTCCACCAGGTCGTAGGGCAGCAGCGTCGGCCACGGTAGCGGATGGCGAGACGACGTTGGCGTCGGACTCGTTCTCCTCGAGCTCGGCGTCGGGCAGCGGGGAATCGGCGCCTCCAGGCTCGTCACCACGAGCAGTTTCGCCCAGCCGAATGGGAAACGTTCCCAAGCCCCCAGGGCGAGTGCGCCCCCTGGGGTCGACGCGGGCAGGAGACGGGGGAATGGCATTCGCCCCCGTCCCCCCCCAGCCCCCCATGTATGAGGCCCCATGGGGTGGGCACTGAACTGCAGCAGCCTGCGCGTCCAGCGACGCTCCCGCGGCCCCTGCGGCAGGGCAGTGATCCCCCGTAGGGGCCCTCACGTCGGCGCCCGTCGCCTCTGCAGCGGCAGCGCCCGCGGCGCCCTCGGCAGGGCAGTCATCCCCCGTAGGGGCCCTCTGGGCTGCGATCCCTTCCGCCGCCGCTCCGTTCACCTGGCCGCCGACCACCGCGACCGCGACTGAGGAGAACACCGTGGTCCCGCAGGTGCAGACGAGGCCCGCGCAGCGCGTGTGCGCGAACGGCTCGAAGGGCTCCCAGTAGCCCGCCGACGGGGCGAACTCGGTTGCCTCGGCGCGCAACGGGGTCGCATCCGCCTCGATCATCTCCGTCCGGAGGTCCAGCTGGCGCCCCTGCCTCCGTTGCACTCGATTGAGTGCCCTGAACGAGAGGTCCATGAGCTGGTTCATGGGGAGGTTGAAGACATGCAACGCGACGTCGCGCAGCACCTGCTCCCTATGAGAATGGGCAGGTGTGGCACCTCGCCTGGTAGCCTCGACCTCCTCGACGAGAAAAGGCAAAATTGCATCCAAGCGCCGTCGTACTTCAGGGTCGTCTGCCCATCTGCTGCGCTCCTGCAATACGCTCTTCTCCGTAATGAGTTTCCTGACCAAATTATCGGCCGACAATGCGGCACGCGCGCGTCGCTGCCGCCGAGCTGCAGCCGCGCCAAGCACATCTTCACGCCACACACACACGGGGCGGGTCCCGCAGCCAGTTCATGCCTGCTCCAATTATCCGGCGCCATGAGCTAGCACATAGAGCCAAGATGTTGGGGCGCGGCGGCATGAGCCAAACTGGCTTGAGCCAAAATGGCTACGGAGGATGAGGAGGAGGAGGCGGAGGAGGAGGAGGAGGAGGAGGAGGAGGAGGGAGGAGGAGGAGGAGGAGGAGGAGGAGGAGGAGGAGGAGGCGGAGGAGGAGGAGAGGGAGGAGGAGGGAGGGTAGGAGGAGGAGGAGGAGGAGGGGAGGAGGAGGAGGAGGAGGAGGATGAGGAGGAGAGGAGGAGAAGGGAGGAGGAGGAGGAGATGAGGATGAGGAGGAGGGGGGAGGAGGAACGAGGAGGAGGAGGAGGAGGAGGGGGAGGAGGAGGAGGGAGGAGGAGGAGGAGGAGGAGGAGGAGGGGGGGAGGAGGAGGAGGAGGAGGAGGAGGAGGAGGAGGAGGAGGAGGAGGAGGAGGAGGAGGAGGAGTGATCCACTCGCGAGGTGGGACGGACGGTCAAGAGCAGGGGACCAGAATAGACTTGTCCAATTGAAAAAAGAAATCCGCCGTCCCTCGATGGAGGCTATCCCGACGCACGTGGCCCAAATCCCAAGCATCCACGCACGGGCAACACACGAGACGTGCCTACCGGCGCATCGCACTGGCGAGTCTGCAGGTGCAAGCGCGCATTAATGGCCGACGCGATGTTATGGCGAGTGGGAGGGGGACGCAAGATATTGCAAATGCCCGCCTTTTCGCCCAACGGCAACGCGGACAAATCTTGCCTTCTCACAACAAAAGAGGCTCAAACACGGCATGAACCCGACGGCACGGGAATTGTGTTCTACGCGATCCGCTCCGCCTTCTCCGTCCCTGCTCCTCTCCACCCTCTTCTTCATCCTCGAGTGCATGGGCGTACAGGCGATGATCCTTCGAGCGCTGCGCGCTTTTTACGTGCAAATTTGAATGATGGTGCCCTTCCGCAGCTGCCAGGACGTGGGCTTCTACGTCATGCGCGGGGTCACAGAAGTTTGCCCGACGTCCGGCATTTGACCCCTATCTTTGTGACCGACTGCCTCGGGCGATCCAAGCGGTCGCAGCTTTCGCCGACGACGTCGGATGTGCGAGTGCAGACATTTACACGAATACCGCAAGATTCTGACCAACTTGGCTGCTAGGAGGAAGATGGTGATGAGGAGGAGAATGGAGAGGAGGATGGAGAGGAGGATGGGGAGGAGGAGGCGGAGGATGAGGAGGAGAAGGAGCAGGACTTCATCCCCCTCTTCTGTCTGACCGCCAGATGCGCGGACCCAACAAAAGTGCTTGCATGACCGCCACATGCGCAAATCGTGCTATTTCGGGGCCCAAGCCGTGTGATGACGGACCGCGTGGTGACCTCGGAATCCCCAACGGCCTCACCGCGCGGACGGTCACCGCACGGTTTTGGGACCATGGAGGCCCCAAACGCCCGAGACGTCCTCGAATGACCCGAGTCCCAAAACCGCGCGATCACCCGAATCCCCACCGACTCACCACTCAGTGTTGGTTTTCGGGACATAACACGCCTCTCCTGCGGCCATTCTGGACGATCAGGGCACCCCCAGATAGCTCTCGGCGAGCCGCAGCGGAGCAAAAGCATCCAGGGGCTGTAAGACAGCCGAGAGCCGACGAGCACGTCCGAAAGCCTCGGCCTGGCACCTCGAAGCCGTGCAGCCGCAGCCAGGGGGCCACGGACGAGCCAGCCGCCGTGGCGGAGCGGCGGCGCGGGAGGGGCGCCGCGCGGGCCCCGGGAGGCTGGGCGGGGCGGCACTGCCCGCCGCCGGCGCGGGGGGGGGGGGAGGGAGGCGCGCCGGGCAGGCGTCCGCGAGGCGGGGGCGGGAAGCTCAGGTCGGGCATGTCTTCCTACATGGGGATTTTCGACGAAGAATGAAAAAACAACACCCCAAAACAGGTTCAAAAGGGTTCAGAACAAATGCTAGAAAAATCGTCCCCAAACAATGCTTTTACTATTTTGGAATATTCCTCCTGCAGAGGGACGTGCCCGACTTAACGGAAGGCGGGGAGTGCAAGACGGAGCCGGACAAGGACCACATCGGACAGGGACGAGACGAGATGAGCGCGCGGTACTGCCGGAGGCGGGGCCTGCGCGGGGGGGCCCGGGGCCCTCAGGGCACGTTGCCCGTGTATGCTGAGCTGGTGGTGGCTGGAGGTCGGAGTGCTGAGCTCTGAGCTAGTGGCCGCTGCAGGTCGATGAAGGTGGGTGTGGAGGTGCAGAGTCGGAGGCCGACCATCTCTGAGATCCGCCGGTTCTGGAGGATGCATCGGGGGCCGCGGCCTTCTCAGAGCGTTCCGGAGCGCTCTGAGGGCGTTCTGGGGCGCTCTGGGACGATCGGTCTCCGTCCCAGCACCGCCCCAGAAGGGGCGACCTCCTCCTGCCAGGATCTGCCACCATCGACTTGGAAAGCCAGGTCGAATCGGGACGTGCGTGGGATCGGGCCGCATCCGCACGGAGTGGAACTCGGAATCGCATCGGCTGCGCCAGGCTGGACGACAGCGCCGTGCGAGCACCGAGCCGCATCGGCATATCGACATCGAACCGGATCGAGCTGGCCAGAATTTTACTCTAGAGGAAGAAAACACGCTATAACAATCATTTTCTCGCGCTCCGCGCGGATTTCGTGGATCTGCGCTGGACACCCCTCCCTGGCGCGCCGACGCGCTGGACACCCCTCCCTGGCGCGCCGAGCGCGCCAAGGGCGGCGCGGCCGGCGGGCCCCAGCGCGAATCCAAGACGCCACGCGGAGCTCCGACAGATAGCGCTGTCCCTTCTTCGAGAGCCGATGTCGAAGCGGGCCGATCCGATCGACGGGCACGCTGTGCTGCTCGGCCCTCCTCCCCCCCAAGGGGTGCCCAGCACGCGGGCGGGGGAGCGGGAGCGGCAGGGGCAGGGGACCGCGGGGCGGGCACCGGAGGCCCCCCTAAAGCGGGGGAGGCCTCTCTCCGCGCCCTGCTCCCAGCCCCTCTCTCGCCACTCTGTCGGCGGCGAGCGCGGGGGGGGGAAAGTGAGAAGGAGAGGGCCCTCTCAGAAGGCGGCGGGGCTGCTCAGAAGCCCTCGCGCCTTCTGAGAAGTTTCTTTCCTGTCTTCGGGGAAGGCTTGAACAACAACTTCCCAGAAGGCCGGGGGACTTCAGAGCCTTCTGAGAAGGCTTTCTCCTTCTCACTTCCCCCTCGCTCGCCGCCGATTGTGAAAAGGACAGCGTGTTTCTGGAAGCCGACCTCGGCCTCAAAGAAACTCGCCGTTCTGGAGGAGTCCCAAAAACGGAATCCGAGCAGAGCTGTTCTCGCCTCGGCGCCGCGACTCGTCGTCCTCAAAATCTGCAGCAGCGTGAAGGATGGAGGGCGGTTCCTTGTCAAAATGCGGCTCTCGTCTAAGCGCGCCGCACATTCGCTTCAAGATCTACGACGATTTCGAGGATACGTGTGATTGAGAGAACACACGAATGGTGCTCTGGCAGGCTTTGGGATTGTCAGGGTGCGACAGTCACGTTGCTCCATCGTGCTGACGTCCCAGGAATAATGTTCTGGCACTTACTTAGAATGTCAGGAGGCAACAATCACGGTGATCCGTGGCGTTGAACCCAGGATCTTTAGTTGGCACGATTGAAGATTCTCAGAAAGGTTGCCTTCTCATGGGCCCATGCCCGCATGGAGCACCAATTCTCGCAGGAATCCATGAAGAGGGACCTTGGAGGGAAGGCGCATTGCAGCATCGTTGACGCGTCTTGGGTTGACACTGGTCCTCCTCCTCCTCCTCCTCCTCGTGCTCCCCCCCTCTCTCGCTCCATCCCCTCGCTCCCCCGCGAGCATCGCAGATCCTCTCGCGCCGGCTCTGCCGCGGCCGTCCTGTCCTGAGCGCGGGGGCGGGCTCCGGGGCGCCCTCCCTCCTCCCAACCCTCGTCTTGATGCCCTCTCTCCTCCTCCCTGCCTCCTGCTCCTGCTCCCGTCTCTCCTCCTCCTCCTCCTCCTCCTCCTCCTCCTCCTCCCTCTCCTCCTCTTCCTTCTCCAACTCTTCTCTTCTCCTCCAACTCTCCTCCTTCTCTTTGTCCTCCTCTTCCTCCTCCCCTTCCCCTTCAAATCATGTGTCTCGGCCCAAAGCTGGCTCAGACTGGATCGGCCCAGGAAGGATCCTAGGGCCCCCAAGAGGACCGCAAAGGCATCCAACATCGCTCCAAGAGAGCTCCAACAAGCGCTAAGAAGCGAAGTGAAGCACTGGCTTTGCTATTTCTTGACCTGGCTGCGGCATTTCATCGTATAGTGTGACAAGTGACTACAAGCGTGCCAGCACACTAGGACGACCGACCTGCAACAGACCTGTGGCAAATCAGTTCTCTGAGGCAGTGCTTCTGGTGCCTGAGGAGATGTCGAGTAAATCAGCTATCATGGGCATTGATGAGGTGGGCAGTCACCTGAACAAACAAGCGGCGGAAACTCAGAGAATAACCTGAATTTCAAATGCCAGATGATGATGGGATCGCGATGTGCAGGCGTGGGCGTGAAGGCAGACCAGAGAGCTCATTTCGCCGACTACTTTCCCAATCGTACAAACAAGAAACACCTTGTCAGGATTCGGACCATGTTTGAGAAGATCGGTCTGTCCATCCAAAGTGGCGAGGTTGTCGAACATCATAATGATATAGTATGGTCGACAGACGAAAAGAAAGGAGGGGAGGACACCAACTTGATGGACGACTCCACTTTCCCTGGGATGGCAAATTCGGAAGAGGAGAGCTGCAGAGAACGATGATTGCAATGGTAAAATATAAAAGATGAAAACTTCACCGTACATCGATGAGCCTCGACTTTGAGAAACGAAATATTCCAGACTTAGTATGTGTGCATGGGAAGGCTGCAGTCAAGGTACAGCAGGCGGTGTACGGAGAGAAGAAGGCTAGCGTCAGTCACAATATATGGGTACGATGGTGGCGTATGACGGGCCATAGTCCCCCAAACTAGCCAGAACATTGGTATAACATCGGCAAGCCTGTGAGCCTTTGCAGAGAACGGTGCTACGAAAGGGCTGGCTTAAGCCACAGCGGTCAACCAAGTACATCGATGCCCTGACGAAATCCAGGTTCCCATGCCAGGCTGAACTATGGTGGGGTCTGGCGGAGGGCGGCAAAGCAAAGCTGGCAGCTGCCCGCATGAAACTATACAAGGCGGCAACATAAGTGCATCGTTGTGCGGCTCGGCAAACCAAAGCTGCAGACATGGTGGTGCTGATATCCACCAGCATGACAAAGACTTGGGAACATACCATGCCAAGACGACTACGGCGTTTTAGTGCAATGATCAACTATGCCCCGCGAGTGATATTGGAATTGGTGATGGCAATTCATGACAAAAGAAACTGGACACATAATACCTTGAATGACCTGACTTGGTTAACAGACATGATCGGCCAGACCGGCCTACCTTAACCAGATGGCATGCGAGAAAATACGGCTTTTTTCTAAACGGGCGCAGTCACAAAGTGGTGCAGAAACGATCTGGAATATCGATTGAACATGAATGGCCGCAAGGAGATCGAGACACATTCCTTTGCTATGATTGTGGGGAACCTTTGTAATGAAAGGCGCGGTCCAATCACACCAAGACAAGCGACACCTACAATATCAAGATTCCAAACATTATGCGGAATGCACAACGTTTGAATGCTGCCACACGAAATTTGATACGAGATACTGGCTACTGGCTCACCTCCACTACGGAAAGCCAGGGTGTACCAACTGGTATCGCCGGAACTTACCACCCGTCTCTTTGGAACAGATTCAGGAGCTGAGGAACACTGATGCGCACGAGGTGGGGGAACCTCGAGTCTTGGGCTACAGCGCAGGGAAACCTTTAATGCCAGCACGGGGTCGACACAGAGGGAAACCAGGAAAACAAAAAGACATCACGAGGACCTCCCCCCACAAATCCCATAGGTTAGAATTAAAGGGCGAGGTGACCGTTCGGAAGGTGATGGGGACGCAAGGGGGCTTTTGTGGAATTGGAAGTGGGCAAATCACCACTTTCCAAGCATACCGCGACACCTGCGCTGGCGCCGAGATTACGCACTGGAGCAAGGCGGGGGTAGCGAGTGACGGAAAGAAATTTGGCATCATTCGTCAGGGAGCTGATGAACGGTTGATGCTGGATAAGACGGTGGGTGGGCGAAGACAATGGAAATCCTTGCTTGTCGTGACCTGTGGAGGTATCGTAATCATACCTCCGACGGAGACATGACCCACCAGAACGCAATAACGAGAGGAACATGACGAACGACAGAGACACATGAGAACGAGCAAAAAACATCCGTCAGGTCGACAACGTATC